AAAATTTTTAATTTTTTTAAAAATCCCACCTATCGTATCGAATAAAACGGGCCCGAGCCGAGCCGATCGTGCCCATAGCTGACGGTAATGTTTTATTTTAGCTGACGGTCTACCGCCTGCCCCGTCTGAAAACTGGTTTAGTTGAAGGTCCACCGAGATGGGTTTTTTTTTTTACTCCTTAACGGACGCACATGTCCACCAAACAACAGCAGATGACTAAAGGCAATATACCGTCACATTTCGAAACTTCAAACGCAAATAAGCAACACAAATTCGTATAATATTTTACAGCATGCATGTTGTTGCCTGCCATTTTAAGTTTTAGAAAATGAAAACAGACTTGAAAAAAAGTGCCCCCCCCCCCCACGTCTCACAGCAGCGGGTCTTCAGTGAGTTCATCCAGGCTTGGGATTGTCATTGGCCACATTAAAACGTTTTGGTGGCTTTTTTTCCGGGGGGGGGGGGCTTTCTTCACCGATGGCTTTAAATCGTACTCATTGTTTGTTTTGAGTATAGAAAAACACATCGACACAATATATATGCCTAACGGTCATTTAAAATTAGTCCTGGAGGAAAGTAAGACAGACAGACAGACACATAAGAAGGAAAGTAAAGAAGTAGGACCTACCAGTGGCGCCCTCCAACCACCCGCTAACTTTGCTGTAAGCGCCGCTACCCTGTCCACAAATAACACACAACGGAGGAGACTCCACCCCAAGGATTCCTTTCTTATGTAGAGGCCGATGCCATTGATGAGTGATATGTCATTTGACTAGAAAGTACTCCCAAATAAACTTTTATCTCATTCCGTCCTATTCCATGTCTTGCCTTTCACTCAACAATTTCACACTCTTTATCCCCAAAATTTGTGAAATTACAGTTGATTCTTTCTTTGACTGACCCGGGAAAACGTATTGTGTTTTTTTATGGCTACCTAGCCTTGTAGGAATCCGAGGAAACGAGCAGGTCGATCTTCTTGCAAAGGAATCCTTGTTCCTCCAGTTGGAATCAACGGAGGACACCCTCCACAGACTTAAAAAAATAAGGTAAAAAATTTGACTAAAGTTAGACTTTGAGTCTGCGGAAGAGCAATGGAGCGAACATGTGAACAGTTATCTCCAATAAAACCCTAGCTGGGTCAATGAAAATTTCCAAGTCTCTCCGGAACAGACAAAGTTATTTTTAACAAAATTACGTACTGGATATACCTCTCTGATGTGTCGATACCTGCCACGGGGAGAGGAAAAACCATTTATTTGTACTGGATGCAACACTGACTTTGCAATCAGAAACATCCTAATGGCATGTCTGGACTTTGGAGAGACCCAAAGGAAATATTTTAAATGTACAAATATCATTGATCCCCCAGATGACAGATGAAGTTATTTTAATTGACCAAATTATGCATTGGATATACCTTCCCCGACACACATACCTCCTGTAGGGAGAGGAAAAACTATTTTGACTTGAATGCAACGCAATACCAACTTTACGATCAGGCATATCCTAAGAGAATGTCAAGAATTTGGAGAGACCCGAAGGAAATACTTGAAATGTACTCATTTAAAGGATTCATTCTCCATCATTGATCCCAGCAGAATTCTCGATTTATTTAATTTTTAAAAATTGGTCTGTGCTCCAAAATGTGTAATGTTCGAACAGATGATTGTCTTGGAAAGGTGGCCATTAAAGTGGGGAAAGAAAGTATTTCTATAACAAAAATGTTCTTCCAACACTGTTTCCTAATAAAGGGCCTACTTATCAGCAGCACCTGCAACACAATTAGGTCATACAAGTGCCGAAAATTAGAGGAGTTACAAGAGAGTAACAAACACAAAAAAAAGAAGGAGAGAGAAGGACGATAGAAGTTTTATAAGAATGAAGGAGCAAATCACATCAGAGCACCCGCCAACCACCACAATTTAAGAAAGGATTGGGTAAACACACACACAGTTGAAGACAATTAAGTTTAGTTTTTTTTTATATTTTTATTACATTTTTTGGTTTATTATAGAGTACATGTGAGCTATAAAGTGAGGATAGGAAACCTAAAAGCACAAACTTTAGCATTTAACCCTATCCATACGCCCTGGGGTCATTTCGTACCTCAGGGGTTGCATTCTTCACATTTTAGAATACTTCTAGTATGAAGATCTCTTTGAAACCTTCAGTATTTCTCAAAAAATCATTTTGACAGACCGCTATGCGAAGCGTACCGATCAGATTAATGAGTAAATTTCCTCTTTGGAAAGTGGTGGCACAGAGTTTCCCACGTCGTATGGACACGATAGTAAAACACGACATACGGATAGGGTTCATAATCAGAATGATTAAAGGCAACATCTTCAACTTTATCTTAGAAACATTTTCAATCAAAACGAACCAAAGAAGTTGTTAGAAACAAAAAGTACTTAAAAAAAACCCAAAACACTTCACTTCTTTTGTTTCTAAAACTGCAATATGGAAAAACGTCTTTCTTTTTTAAAGTTTGAAGTCCAAATCTTGTCTACCAGTAAATTGTCTAAAAGCAAATTAAAATGAATTGTCATAACAATAAAAAAAATCGTGCAAAATATCAAGAAATAAGTGAATATGGTACATGAAAAAAAAAAAAAAAAAAAAAGAACAAGGTATAAATGATTCATCGGAGAAAAACATTTACACAAGTACATTCATGTAACACTGTGAAAAACAGAATGGTAGACACAAAAACAACAGAATAAAAGAAAGAACATGATGAAAACAGCATCTCTACACCATCCCTGAACAAAACAGAAAGACAAGCACAAAAAAAATCCAACTGATTAAGTAGGAAAAAAAATCTTTAGCCTGAAGAAAAAGTCAGACCTACAGAAGCTAGGAAAAGTATGCAATAAGAACTCTAAATAACCACCCCTGATCACAACTAATCCTTTATCTGTCTGAAAACATCGTATTTTGTCTCCTTGTAAGATCAAAGAGGAAACCACGTAGTGTAAGATGAAAGTGGAGCTCTCTTGTGTGTATACACAATACCAGCACAGTCAGCCATCTCAAACCAACTTTACAAACAGCACACAAAATGTGAGGGAGAATGTGAACATACAAATGTGCCCTCATTCACACACACACACACACACACATGAAACATGAGAGGGTGTGTTATACACATTCCCAAAAACGTTCAGTAACTTTGGTCCCATTCAGAAATATCACAAGCACGAACAACACGCAATGAGGCGTGAGCAAACACCACCGCTGACCAATACTTTCAGCAAAAACTGATCGTCTTGAATCCTTTCGAATTTCAAAGAAATTTGCTCACCAAGACTCAAAATCAAAGTTTTCTTTCTTTTCTTTTCCTACCAGCACGGTGGTCTGCGGGTGGGGGGAAGAGAGTGGTCTTCAGGAGTATTATAACAATAATAATTATTATTTTACTTTCTCATTCCAGACTCCTAAATGATATAAATAGTGTAGATGAGAATGCAAAAAAACTATATTTTAAAATAACAAAATAAACAACTTTGTGTACACCACAAAATGTTCTAAGAAAGTGGGCCCAGCGTAGTTCATGATTTATATGTATAGAATATATACTGTCTTCTCTCTTCCAACAACAAGGCCTTACATTCAGCCTTTAAATCTAAAATACTTATCGGAGTCGAGTAGCAGTCTAGCCCAACCCAAAACCTCTGCACTTTTGCCTTTAACTTTAATCTTGCAGCCAGTAAAATACACATAATGTTCACACACTTGCATACCCAAACATAGGTGCACACACAGACATCACAGGTTTATTCAGATGACAAAAAAAGCAGTGCGTAGACACCTGCAAGTCCGCAACAACGCTCCAACTGAAACAGTTATGTCAAACTTTATGCTAAAATGGTTCTTCGCTGAATTAAAAAATAAAAAAATAAAAAACTCTTTCACTACCCGGGGAGGGGAGGGTGTATTCCCTCACCAGGACAAGGCCCTATCTGTGACCTACTTCTTTCTGATTCTGCCTACCGTCGGACAAGTTAAAGATTTCTTGGGTTCAATTTTCAATATTAGCCACATGTATATGAAAATGAGGGGAAATAACCACTGATCTTGAAAAACGATCATTCTTCAGCCTGCGATTTCAGACTCGATTATTCCAAAATTAAGTGTGGTTTTGAAGCAGGAAGTGGCGAGCTGTGAAACACGGCTCGTGGTCCTCCATTGGGGGTAACAAGAGCCGTGAAACATGGCTCGCGGTAGTGAAAGAGCTAAATAAGAAGGGCTGAGACTTCTTTTGGGTAGAAGAGAACAAATCGTCAGAAAGTTGTTCAACTGTTCTGGGCCCAGAAAGCAAAATTTTTCAGGAAAAAAACCCAGCACAGTTACAAAAACCATCATCAACATCCAACATACACTATGGATAATGTTAATTACCCGTACCCAAAAAAAAATTAAAAAATAAGGACCTGGAGGAAAAACAGAACAAATTCATTCGGAAAAGAACATTAGATTCTATTTACATTTGCATGAACATAGCACTTGCCCTAGTGAATACACCTGCCTTCGTTTTCATGAAAAGTGACTTCTGGCATAATGATGGTAAAATATTTTCCCCTCAAAATGTTTCAGACCATAGACATCAAAACTCTGAAACTTCTTAAGTAAAAAATCAGTTCTAGAACCATACTCGAACCACTACTCTTCAGACTATTCTGCCCTTAGCTGACAAAACATCTTGTATCATTTTGGTGCCAAAACTTTTTTATTTGCTAAGTCGTAAGCCTGATAAGTTACCCTAAGTATGTGAAAAAATCAAAGTGAAACTGTGACTAGTGTTTGAATAAAGTAGAATTCAAATTTTCAAAGAACTCTATTTTTCAATGGTTACGCTGACAAAAAAACCTTTTAGTCTCAAAACGGGTTGTGAATTTTTTTAAAAAGGCGTTTTGTCAGCTTATGGCAGTATAGAGCAGATGCATAAACACTCGGAAAGTGTGCAAACAAAAGTGTAAAACATAATTTCAGGTGACATGAGAAGTCCACAAACTGCCTACTTTGAAAAAATGAATACAGTGACAGTGTGATAAACCTTGTTGGTAAGATCAGCAATCCCCCCAAAATGACACATTCTCCACCAGGTCAGTGTACTCAGGCAAAAGCTTTTCTTGAATTGAAAAATGTCTGTGTCCTTTGCACACTGAACTCAGACTCCCATTATTGCATGGACCAGACTTTCTCAGAATTGATTTGTTCAAGTTCTCATACTATTGAAAGCCCCTTCAAGAGGCCAATTCATTCACAATATAAATCTGAAATGGTTGAAGGGTTTTAGCGATGGTATTCATTACCTAAAGTCACTTAAAATGAGTTTGTTTTAATCTAACCTAAGAAAGGGTTCCAGCATACAACACCCCCAACGAATGCTACAAAATGCCTTATGAACTTAACAACACAGATCTGTCCTACCACCCATAAGGCATACAGTTAAAAATTCACATTTCTTCCACAAAAGTGTGACGACTGCCTTGCTAACAAAAATCATAATATACAACAAAGCAAAAATGCAACCTGGCGGGCAAGAATGTCTGATATGTCACCCGCGCTTAGTGTGCTGAAGCTCAAAGCAGCTCACTTGAGTCAACTTGAGTTTAATCCAGTTCAACTTTAAACCATTTCCACTGCCAAATCTCTTGATCAAAAAGTAAGTATCAATTCCCAATCAAAATAGTCTGTAGTTTTTTGCTACTTAAAAAAAAAAAAAGAATACAGAACCAAGGATAAAAAAAAAATTCAAACTTTGACATCCATTTTCTCAAAATACTTTTCTCTAATTTTCAACTTTTATGTAATCTATTTTACAACAAATCTGCATCAGCCTTTCCCAGACTTCCAGACAGTAAAGACAAAAAGAAAATGAACAAAATTCTGAAAGTGAACAATAAAGGCATTTTGACATTATGACCCAACCAATCACATGCAAAAGTACAAATATTAAACAAAGAAAAAATCTGGTATATATGATTATATGCAAACTCACGTCTAAAATAAAAAGCAAAATTTAAAAAACTGGACCCAAGCACTTCTGTTCCAACAAGTTACCACAAAGCAAAGGGAAACCAGTTTGAAAACTCTCCCCACCACACACCCTTTCCGTCATTCCTCTCACATCCCCCACACCCATTTCTTCAACCATCAGCCTTTGGAAGTTAATGAATTCAGGAAGATTTTTGTAATAAGTATTTTTTCCTCCAATATAATGTGCATCATATGACAATATTTACAAATATATAGATTTGACCACAGAGATTGATGTTCTTGTCTTTCAATGCGGGCTTTAACACTTTTTCTTATTTTGTTTTGGTTAACCTTGGAACTCTGCAACTGAATTCATTACTGAAGTCAGTACAATTTGCTTTGAGTTTTTGCCTGAGTTTACTTATCAATAATATACAGACAAAAATGGGGCCGGTATTGAACTGTGCATTTTTTTTTCAGTCTATTTGATGGGTCACAATTTCTCAGAAAAGTACACTTACTTCTCAGAACATAATCACTTTAATTGGAATAGAGAGCAAGTTGTGAAATATATCGCCAGTACTGTTTCCTTTCTCCAAAATGAGAGAGCTCCAGTTGACATCTAAAAGTCATGCGACTGATTTGTAACATCATAGAAGGATGTTTTCATAAACAATCCCCCCCCCCCTCCCCCAAAAAAACAACCAATCCAAAACATGACAACCCAGTTGACAACAAATCCAGCGATAGCGAGGAGGCTGACGGATCTAATGACTGCGGAGGCTGAGTCCTGACAGGTTGTCCCATGTGCGGTGGGCCACTCCGATCCCTTGCTCCTAAAGGTCATCTGGTGCATCCAGATGAGCACCCAGCAGACTGAACACCGGGATGTTGCCAGTCATGCCGGGCAGATCCACTCTCGGGTTGAAAGCTGGCTGCACTGACTTTGGCCCTGGGTTGGAACCAAACTCCTGCAACGGCTGCTGCTGACCACCCTGGCTCACCCACATCTACGGAAAAATTGAAAAAGAACATGACGATAATAATAATAACAATAATAGTAATAATAATAGTATTAATAATAATAACAACAATAACAAAAACAATAACAGACTGAAAAAAAATTAAGATAATAATGATAACATTAACAATAATCACTTCTATAGTGCCCGTTCCCCAGTGGCTCTAGACACATCACAATAAAATTTTTAAAAAATTTGACAGCTTACACAATGACATGTTTCATGCACCAGTTCAAAGTACAACAATCGTTTCAAATATACATGTACGACTATTCTTTCAAGTAGTACATATAACACCCCAAAAAAAAATGTTATCCATTTCCTGTGTGTGTTTGTGATAGGTGGGGGAGGGGGGGGGGGGGGAGTGTAAAATTCGTAGCGACAAGAAGGTGATCATTGCTTTCCTGCCTTTCAGCCATCTCAAGCTCAGCTCAACCCAGGTCTACACTGTAAAAAGTTCAGTTCGCAGAAGAAAAATTAGAGAACCACAAATAATTACAAAATCTTTGGGAATCTTTAATGCCCTAATTGATATAACACATAATTCAAGGGGAAATCTGCTCCCAGGATGCCTATTACGGCCAATCCAGGCGAGCAGGATACAACATCCTGAGAGACAGATGGATATACTCAATAAAATGACTTCCCCAATTAAGAATCAAACTTGTATCTTCCGTATTTAACTCTTTTCCTACCAGGTCAAAATCCACCACTGGCCCAGGGCTTTTCCCTGACCTATCTTTACGCCTCTGCCCCACCACAGGAAAATGTCAAAACATCCAACTAAACACATTCAAACCATATCATATGGCCCATCAAACTGAAGGTTAAAAAATAATCTATCAGATGGTGATACAATATTGAAGATTTATTCCAATTATATTAGTTTGGGGTTTCTAAAAGTGATTATGCAAGATCGAAGGTGTCATATGAAATCAACAATTTTCCAGCTTTGAAAGGTCATATCTGAAAAAGTACAATAACAGCATCATTCAAACTTCCGTAAAAGTGCCGTAAAACTCTTACTAAAACTAAAACTAAAACTTCCCAGGTAGGTTGCATCATATCTGAAAAAGTACAATAACAGCATCATTCAAACTTCCGTAAAAGTGCCGTAAAACTCTTACTAAAACTAAAACTAAAACTTCCCAGGTAGGTTGCCTCAAGTAATGCAGAGAAATGTTGAAAGTTATGTATGTGTACCTAAAATAGAAATGAAAATATGAGACATATACTGAAGTCAGGAGAGTGCTTTTCTTCTTATATTTCACGTTACGACGGGGACAAAAAAAGCGCTGAAATGACTGAAAATCATCTCTCAGTGCTATATTTTCTCCCCGTATTTTGCAGCTCTCTGTCTAGCGAGGCCAGGTCCGCGAGCCGCAAAATGCGGCTTGCGGTAGGGAAAGTGCTAAGGGACTAAAGCATAGCCATCCCACCACAGATGCCAGTTGTTTTTTTTCTAAAAAAAAAAAAAAAAAAAAAAAAAAAAAAAAGCTTACATTTCCAGAGACCTGCTAAATCATAACAACTTAAAACAGCTTTTGAATTGTGCACATTCTTGCTCAACAGCCAGCTCTATGCACTTTGAAATCTAAAACATCATTACCACACCAACCGACGGCATCCTAAAACAATCTAACCTTCATGGGAAGTATACAATATACACTGCCATTTACAGGTGCTAATATGCTAAAAAATTGACAAGATCTTTTGCTGTCTATGGCCAGGAACCCAGTCATATAAGAATGAAGTGAGGAAAGAATCTTTCCCCAGGAGGCAACGTCAGGCCCAGCTGAGCTTAAAGCCATCAAACCCACAACCTCCCAATGACCACAACGCCACTTTGTGCTGTTTGCCAACAATCATGAGAGGCTTCACTAATTACAAATTGCTACCCAAGAATTACAAAGTTCTATCTGCTCAGTACCTAGTTTTGAGAAATTGACCATTAAAAATTTTGAGATTCACAACATGTCACACTTTTTCAAATGCAGTTCTTTCAATATCTCGATAACAACTTCGAATAATCTTACAATTTTGATAGATCAGATAGAACATTTTAGTTTTAGTTTTATTAGAGTTTTTACGGTGCTCGCAACCGTATGAGGTCATATGAGCGCCAGAGGGTGGATGTCAACAGAAAAGTCCATACATAGAAACGGGCTTACTCTGCTCACCTCACTAGCTTCAACAGCACAAAGTCTGCTTCGACTATAAAGGCAACCCGGAAATAGCGGATCACAAGAGAGTGACAAACATACAAAAGAAGTAGAGGTAAAAAGACAATAGTAAGGATTAGGAAAGAAAAAGTAGCAGTTCCCTGTTGCAGTTCAGGCACAGTTATGAGCATGACATTGATGAATCAGCCCATTTACAATTCTACTGTACATAAGAACATAACATCTCCCCCCCCCCCGGGAATGGCCTAAAGACACTTCAGCCAGGGGGGGGGGGGGGGGACTAGAACATTTGGTCTCTGACCTCATGCTCTTAGTAAGTAACTCAAAATGGCCAAAAATGTCAGATAAAACTTTGTAATTCTAAGGTAGTGAAATGCTGCAGCCAAGAGAACCTTGTGAGCTGCACACATCCATGAGTGGACATAAAGCTTTTTAAAAAGTTCAAAATATGGCAGACTCTTCACTGCCAAAATTGGTCTCCGAGGCCATAGTAGAAGCCACACACACTCTAGAGCGTTATTTCTCGCAGAATCTCAACCCCCCCCACCCCAAGTACTCTGAGAGAAGGTAACATTACTCACCGGCTGTGCTGCGCGTTGTCTGGCCTGGGCAACCTGGTTGCAACAGCCTGCATCCACACCTGGGCGTCGACTCAGGTCCACCACTGAGCTCTCTCTCAGCAGTTGTGGCCACGCTGGTGGTTGCTGCTTGACCGGTGAGCATGCGAAAGAATTGGTCAGCTCCTGAATCTCGTCCATGCCCACGTCTGCCTGGTTACCCCACGCTGGTTCTTCCTCCAGTCTCCTCTGACGATGTGCTGCAAAAAAATAAACATTGAATTTGAGGGATCAGATGTTGGTCCCAGCAGAGGCCTTGCTTCTGTATGGAGTCTAGAATTGTTAAAACGTGAGGTCTTGCAGATTAATAAACTTGACAGCCCTTGTTAACACATTACACCCTAACTCGCCCGCGATCACCGAGAATTTCTGTACGCGCTCCACCCTAACTCGCCCAGAACCGCCTGCGCTGACCTAGCATCTTTAGAAACGAAGTGTCGCCTTGTTGAGACTCTGGGGCCGAGATTTTGATTTGCATAGTTATAGTAAAAAGTTTCTTCTTTCGTTTGATACCGAAACAAAATTTTTCGGGCAAGTAGTTTTAGTATTAGAGCTGATCGAAGTGCGATCGAGTTACCGACACTTAAAAGGTGTCTCGACTTGTTGAAAAGCGACACAAGTGAGGTCAAAAAAGGAAATAATGATGGATTTGTGCAAAAACAAGCATATATCACAAATCAGATGACTCACATTTTGATGAAAACGTAGTAGCAAGAGATTGTGGCGAGTCAGATTGATCAGACGTAGAAAATCTAGAATTTAGATCTAGGGCTCGACCGCGAGGCCGAGAGTGAGAGTGATGGGTGGGACACCCCGACTGAACTAAAGTTAAAACATTTCCATACATTAAGTTATATTTTTCTGAAACTACATTTCATTTTTCTTATTAACTTTTATTTTTTCAGCATTTTGGGAATTTGTTTAGTATTTTTAAAATGTGTTTTCTAAACTTATATTCACGGGAGATGGGTTCCTTCCCCTTGCTTAGGATCTAGGAATGGACTTCCCGGCCAGGCCCTAAGGGTGTAATGTGTTGAGCTTGGATCTGCCCAGAAAACACTATAGGTGGAGGACGTGTGTGGTGGGTGGTTGGCGTGTGCTCTGGAGTGGTTTACTCCTTCTTTCCTATCAAATATCTGTGTTCTCATCTGTCCTCCTGTACTGTGTATTTCTTGTCACCTCTAATCTTCGGCATTTATATAACCTAACTGAGTCGCAAGAGCCATAAAACTCTTACCAAAACTAATACAAACATTGATTTTGAGGAATGGGAATTTGGTTTTGGCTTGAAAACTCTCCACTGGAGATGTGCGGAAAGCCCCCAAGTAACCAGACTGAAATCTCAGTTCTGTATGGAATCTAACATTGTCACAATGTGAGGTCTTGCAGATCAAAAGACTTCACAGCTGTTATCAAGCTAAGATCTGACAAGAGATCTCTACAGGCGGAGGAGGTGTATGGAGTCCCCACCCTACTCCAGATGAGATAAAATTGCACACACACAAATCTCTCTCGCTCTCTCTCTCTCTAAATATATATATATAAATACCTCTCTCTATATTCTCCCTCTCTCTCTCTCTCTAAATATATATATATAAATACCTCTCTCTATATACAATGCGGTAATGTGGCCTTGGCCTACAGATACTGTGTTTGCCTCTCATGCGAAAGGCACAGGGTTTGAACCTGGTCATGCCCAATTTTCTTTAATTTTTGCTCCTCTTCTAAAATCAGAAAAACAAACCCCCCCACCTCTCTTACTAAAGCTCCTTCTTCCTCCACACCCTTGATATTAAGGTATACCGGAAGCAAAGAAAAATCTCAGAGGTACCACGTGCACGTTGCACACATCAAAGACCCTTTGGAGGTTGAAAATTGTAAGAGAGTTGGCTTTCATGATCTACATTGTGTCAATAGAGACGGAAAACAATTACAAGCACAATTATCGTGGATCAGTATACTGGTCTTTTCTTTCCTACCTGAACCAGTCGATCTGTCAACCACGGCATCTTCAACAGGTGAAAGCAACTTCTTCTGCTTCCTGTCTATGTCCATGTAGCCACTGGCCTGCAAGTAAAAAAAAGAAAGGAAAATACATAAAAGACCCTGTGGCAGTCGCCAAATCAGTACCTCAGAATTACAGCCAAATAAAGTGAGCCGGAATCACTCAAAATAAAAAATGATTAAGGCATGAACTTACTCAGAAGGAGACTATAAGCAAGAATTTACCAGCAAATTGGTCAGTAATGTAAATCTGTTGAAAGTTTTGAAATTAGATTTGGCTTACCATAATACAGAGACACATGATCAAATAAACCGTCCTTTGACACCCCATACAACAAAATTGATGCCCTCTCACATGAGCAAGGGGCTCTCGTGGTCTAGAGGTTACAGTGCATGTCTCTATAGTTCAATAGGTCCTGGTTCTGAAACCTGACAGCGACGGAAAATTTTCTCTAAAATGTTCTCTTTTCACCCCCTTTCCTACTGTGTACCCGTGGTCTGTTGTCTACTTTTGTCTCCACTCCTTTAAGATCCCTCAGTGGTCCTAAAATTGATACAAATAGGCTTTGGCCGCTACCCGTGCAAAATTGAAAATTGCTACCAAAACTAAAAATCGTTAATGTGTCCTGCACGCTCAATACGACCATATGCAGTTGCGAGCGCCGTAAAACTTACCAAACCAAACAATCTCACCTGAGCCATAGAAAGGTCCTCCACCATAGGTTCACGGCGCAGCACTCCATTGCCTTTCCACAACATTCCCGGCTGGGGAACAACTTCGTGCTTGGCCACGACGCCCTCTGACCTTGGCGGTTGCTTCAGAACGACAATCTTCGGACGCAGCTCCTTGTTCTGACCTCTGCTGGACGGTCCCTGGACAACTGTCAGACCTGGTTGAGCAGGGTGCTGAGGAGAGGATTGATATAGAACTTTTGCCGCTGTTCTTCTACTTTAATCATTTTGTTATGAGTTTGTCTTTTAGTGCAAAGGCGCTTCTGAAAGATCGCTCTTCTGTAAACCTCGACTACCATTCTTCGCTTATCATATGGAAAAGAAAGAGGTGAAGTTCAAGCAGAAAATAGGAGATAATTTTTTTTTAGCTTTAGTAAGATTTTTTTCTGTGCTTGCAATACAAGAGAGAAATAAAAGATGAAAAGGAAGTAGCCTACAAATTTTTAAAAATGTTAAACAAGGGAGCAAAGTTTTAGAAAAAAAGAAAGAAAGAAAGAAAAAGAAGAGGATCAACATGAAAAATGAATCAGTTCTTCAATAGGCCCATATAGATTCACCAGTAGTGTTAATGGGGTTGGCCATATTCGCTAACTCAGGGCTCTGAGTGTTTTGCATAGCTGGAGCAGAAGTTCCATAGACAAATAGCAATCTTAGAATACAAAGTTCTACCTGATATTTTTGAGTAACTTAGACCATGAGGCCAGAAACCAAATTTTTTATCTGCTCTATGAAAAAGGCAAGATTATTTGCAGTCGTTATCAAAATACTTAAAGAACTGCATTCGGAAAAACTTGACATGTATAAAAACAACATTTTTTGCGTCAAATTTCTTAAAACTAGATGCTGAGTAGATGGAACTTTGTAAATCTGAAGTAGCAAAATACAATGAGAATTCACAAGTTACCGAGTGGCAGTTTATGTATGGTGAGCCAGCACATCAAAAGCCCTCATCTCGCAGAGAGAAGATAAGAACAATATTTATGCAGAAAGACTGAAAAATAATCAAACCACACGAGGGTAAACACCCCCTTCTTTAATAATCCAAGAAAAAAAAAATCCATCCCTGAAAACATATTAAAGTCCCTCATCAATGATTGTCTGGGAAAGGCTGGGAAAATCCATTGGGCGGACACCCATCAGAAACGTGTTATTATGGAGGCGAACCAAACAAACAACCAATTGACAGTGAGATTTTAGAAAAAGAAAATGCACATCGACACAATAATGGTTATTTGGTGCTGGGAAAAAGTAAAACAGACACAGACAGACAGAAACAACAGAAGAAAGTAAAGAGATAGGACCTACTGTGGCACCCTCCAACCATCCACAAAGATGGCGATGGATTGGACACTCTGAAGAAGCCAGTCCACAATGTGACAAGATTGCCTTAGATGGAACCCCCAGGGGGGAAGAGAAAGAGGGGAAGGCTGAGATCCACCTGAGCAAGATCTAGAGGCAGATCTCAGGACATATGTGGGACACAGAATGATGGCTAGAGATAGAGAAGATCGCCCAGAACAGAGACAGATGGCGAGTTCTTCTTGACTGGCAAAAGAGGTGAAATGAATGATGATGAATGAGTCAATGAATCAATCCCCCCATCTCCTGATACATACTGTGTTTGCAATGAAGCTAGCTGTGGACATGCAAACTCTCTTCACTTTCCTTGCAGGAGGCCTCTTGATACCCATTATATCTGGAGAAAAAAAAAGTAGAAGCTGGTACAAAACACACACAAAAAAAACCCAGTTCCTTTAACGGCAATCTCAGAATGACAAAGTTCTATCTGACATTGCTGGCTGTTTTGAGTTACTAAGGCCATGAGGTCAGAAACCAAATGTTCAGTCTGCTCTATCAAAACCACAAGATTATTCCGAGTCATTATCAAGATATTCAAAGAATTGCATAAGAAAAATCTTGACACATAATGAAAGTTTTGACGCCAAATATCTGAAAAATAGGTAATGAGCAGATAAAACCTTGTAATTCTCAGCTAACGTAATGCCTATATCATCGGCCAGCTGTTCAAATGTACAAAGCCCAACATTTTTTTGAAATTTTTTTCATTGCAGTTTTTACATCTGCAGTATTGGTTGCAATTCTAAAATGTTGAAAAAATGCCAGTTCTCCACAAAAATGTTATTTTGCTTTTTAGGATATGCACTGTTGAATTGTATGCTGTGAAAAAGTATCTGCCCTGTCACTCATCACATAATACATTTTATGTCCATTTTAAAATACTTTTTTTCCAGTGGATTTGACTGAAAAAAGTTGATCAAACGCACACATGATGCAGTTTCCAAGGATTCTCAAGCTTTGGAACTCACCAAACTTTTGTGGCTATTTTCTCACTAATTTTAGCTCGGACCCGAGGCAACCCCCACCTCCTTCAATCACAAATATCTCAACGTTTATTCAAAATAGACGGATATATTCTAAAATAAAAAGGCAAGGCAAAGCAAACAAACACGCTGTGAAATTATACCAAAAACCCCAAATGCTCAAATACTGACGAGAGCTTGATTCAACCGCGTCATGAGTTTGTTTTTTTTTTAGTTATTTTTTTTAAAAACAGGACAGGTACCATCCACTAGAAATACTAAAGGCTAATTAAAGCCGTATCACCCTCTGTAGTATCTGCCCCGCTTTGTACTTGAGCACAAGCCCGAAAGGTTTTGGAACAGATACCACACTCTGCACCATAACACGTATTGCAACTTGATTTTGTTTGTTTGTTTGAGCATATAGAAGCACAATGACACTATAATGGTCATTTAGCGCTGTGGAAAAAGTAAGACAGACAGACAGAAACAACAGAAGGGAAAGTAAAGAAGTAGGACCTATCAGTGGCGCCCTCCAACCACCCACTTATTATAACTTGACAAACTTCAAAAAGAGAGAGAGAGAGAGAGAGAGAGAGAGAGAGAGAGAGAGAGAGAGAGAGAGGGGGAGGGAGAGGGAGAGGGAGAGGGAGAGGGAGAGGGAGAGGGAGAGAGAGAGAGAGAGAGAGAGAGAGAGAGAGAGAGAGAGAGAGAGAGAGAGAGAGAGAGAGAGAACTATCTTACCCTCCAGCTGCCCCAGTGCTTCTTCTGCACTGAGCCTCAGGTCTTCCTCAAGCTCCAGCAGTCCTGCCAGTAGAGGTTCCACTTCTGGGCATTCTGGGTACTCAAGGAACTCCCTTGGCAGCACATCCTTGAACTCCCCAATCTGTGAATGAAATCAACAAAAATGTGCATAGTAGAAAAAAAAGGAAAGAAAAACAAAAAATACATACATAGAAAAAAAGGGAAAGAAAAACATCAAATACATTCATAGTAGAAAAAAAGTTTTAAAAAAACAACAACAAAAAAAACAATGATAATTTTCTTCTTCATCTTCTTAGCTTTTCCAGCAGTAGAATATTACCTCTCAGACCTTTCTGCAATAAAATACTCTTGTCTCTTGCCATTCTTGCCTGATTTGTTTCGGTACCAAGCCAGGTTTTTATGTCCTGTTCCCATTTTCTGTTTGGCCTCCTCTTCAACCTTTGCGTCCAGTATATTTTGCAGTAGTTCAGTTTCATTACATTATGGAGGAGTGTTGGTATTTTTCAAAACTTATTCTTCTTTGCACTTCTTCATTTTTTTTTTCTCTTTGGTTTTTAGTACGAGTTTTATGGCACTTACAACACAACAAGGTCATTTAACTGTTTCGCAATTACAGCGCCCGAATGCGCCCGCGCCGGTGACCCCCCCGCTCACTCCTATAGCGCCCGAATGCGCCCGCCATGGGGGTGTTTGTTCCATTGTCACAGGAGGCTTCTACTTTTACTATCAATGAAAAATATCACTTAGCTATCTTCATAGAGGAAGAGTTCCGGTTTACTATGGTGTTTTTCTTGTTTCTCTAGCACAAAGAGTCACTTTTTGAGCGGGAAAAAAGTCGGAGCTTGTTTTCAGTTGTAAACACGCCACTTTCCACTCAGCTCTGGACGAAGTTTTGAGCTTGTTTCGCGAGACCACTGGCACTATTTACGATGGTGATCTTTATGGACTGGATGTTTAATACCTCAGGGGCTGCAGGTATTCAGAATGCTGCTTCAAATGACGGCGAATCTGACGTAGACTTAGATATTCTGATTGAGAACGATGACAATGATGGAGAGGAAGAGGAGACTGAGAATGTCAACGCAAGCGGCGATACAACAAACACGGGCAACAACACCACACAAGACTCTGATGACTGAATACCACTGCCTCCAACTTTTCCAGCTAAACCAGTCAAAGTGAAGCCATATGTAGACGCTGACATTCAGCATGACCTGTCTTTCGATGCCCCACCTCATGATTTTTTTTCTTTGTTTTTCATTTTACATTAGACGACAGAAAGCAGTGTATTTCATTTTTATTTTCATTACAAAAATTCACAGGTAAAATAACTTCCCAAATAATTTTAGTAATACATGTGTTCTGTTCTTTCCGCAGCGTCAAAGAACACTACGTTCCTGGCAAGTGCGTCAGCATTGATGAGGCGATGATTGGGTTCGGCGGTCGACTGCACATGAAGTAGTATATATGCAAGGAAAACCCACCCCGTGGGGAATAAAGGTGTGGTGTATTGCAGATCCAGAGACCGGGTACATGTTGGATTTCATTGTGTACACCGGCAAATCAAAGCAGCTAGTCGCTCACGGTCTTGGCCATCACGTGGTCATGACGACCGGCCCCCGATTCCTGGATAAATACTGTCACTTTTTAAATGACAATTTTTTCTCCAAAGTGCAACTAGCTGAGGACCTTCTGCGCAGCACATACTCGTGCAGCACCATCCAAACCAACAGAATGGGTTGGCCTGCACCTCTAAAAGATAGTGCGACGTAGGGCATGCAGAAGGACAAGGAGAACCTGAAAATGATGACGAAAGGGGACAATCTTGTCGCCACAGTGTGGGTTGATGAGCGTAAAGTGAGTGTGCTGTCCACTAATGTCACTCCAGGTGTCAGCATGGTGATGCGTGGTGCAAGAACGGACCTGAGCCCATGATGAAGCCAGATGCCATCTCTTTTTACTACAGATACATGTTCGGGGAGGATCTTTCTGATCAGCTGCGGCCTTATTACGCTGTTGGCCGCAAGAATGTGAAGTAGTGGAGGTATGTGCTCTGGTTCGTTGTGCAGATGTCCCTGGTCAACGCGTCAATACTAAACAAAGCTGCCAACCGTCCCTCGCCTGGAAATCAGCGCCCGTTCAGTCAACTTCGCTTCCGCCTGGCTATCGCATCGTCGCTTGTCGCCGGCAACATCAGCAAGAGGAAAAGAACCACTCATGCTGGTCCCTCAACAGCTGGACTTGCATCGACGCTGAGCTCCGACCATGAGATCTCCAGGATGCATGGCCGCAAAGCTGCCTGCTACGAGTGCGGCAGAAACAAAGTGAAAACACTCAAAGGTCGTACACCTGAAACGTGTTATGGGTGCCTTATTTGCAAAATTCGGTTGTGTAAAGGGATGTGCTTTGCAAGTTTTCACCAGAGGCTTGCTAAGCTTCAATCTTAGTGAATGTGTTGCATTTCTCTTATATGGATTACCTTTGTCAGTGGCAGAAACTTGGTGAATTGAAAAAATACATGCCTCAATGTCCACTCAACAAGCTCTGGTTTTATTTTCTTTCTTTGCTCTCACTTAATTATTTTTGTATACTATTTTCAATTTTCCTTCTGAGACTGTCCTTGTTTTTGTTGTGGTTTGTTTTTGTGATTTTATATGATTTTTTTTACAACCATACCCTTCTTTCCTACAAGGAGTACTCTCGGTATCCAAGACACACATCTCAGAAAGACCTCTCATATCATTTCAAACTCTTCCGTTCCACTTACAATTTTGCCTTGGTAATTTAGCCCATTCATTTTCCTTTTAGCCAATTCATTTTCCTTTCAGAAAATACTATTTTCATCATTTAACGTTGTGTGTGTGATTTTATACAATATTTTTTAGTAAGGTACCCATTCAATTTTTGCGGAGTTATTTCCCTTCTCTTAAGGATGGGGGGCCACAGCTGGCCAAGCCTACTAAGTGCGAAAGGGTTAAGTGCTGGAGATTAGAGGTGTTGCAAGAGAGTAACAAACACAAAAAAGGAGAGAGATCATGATGATAGAAGTTTGATAGGAAAGACAGAGCAAACCACACCAGAGATCTGTCAACCATCCGCCTGGATATTCTAAGCATTCTCCTGTAACATTTCATTTCATTAGGCCCTTATGTTCTGTTTGCGAAATGGTCATTCAATACTGGGGAAAAAAGCAAGATACAGAAGCAACAGAGGGAAAATATAGAAACTGGATCAACCAGTAATGCCCTTCACCAACCACCCGCTAACACAATACCTTACCCATAAATTACTGCTGATAAATCGCAACACAAGCACAATATCTTACCACATATTACATAGACAACTTACAACATACACACATACCTTACCCACAATTTACGGCGGACAAACAGCAACATACACACATACTTTACCCACAAATTACTTTGGACAAATCTCAACATGGGCACAATACCTTACCTACAAATTACTTGGGACAAATCACAACACACGCGCATACCTAACCCACTTTAAACATACACACATACCTTACACACTAATCACAACGTACGCACATACCTTACCAACTAATCACAACATACGCACACACTTAACCCACTAATCACAACATACGCACATATTTAACCCACTAATCACAACATACGCACATACTTAACCCACTAATCACAACATACACACATACCGTCTTGAGCACTTGCATCCTTTGGTCGATCGAGATATCCGAAGGATACATGTCTCTTCCCGTCAGATACTTGATCATTGGGGGCACTCCCCACCGAATGAATGACATGATCATGCCAACGGCGTAGACGTCATCTTTGGTGTTGAGGCGCCGAAGTTTGCTGGGTTTCTGCTGAGCCCTGATGCTCTGTTTGAGAACAAACGAGAGGAATTTCCACTTTGATTTTTATTTTGAATGTGTCAGTGTGCTAGGTGTAGTATGAGTTGTGCAGCACTTGCAACACATATAGGTCATGTAGGTGGCGAAGACTGGAGGTGTTACAAGAGAATTAAACACGCAAAGAAAACAAGAGTAAACATGGGAAGGAACGAAACTACAACTAGATTGAGTGACAAAGAAGAAAAAGAAGATGAAAAAAAAAAAAAAAGGAATAGCAAAAAAATACGACACACCAATGACATCGTCCAATCACAGGAAAAGAACATGGCGAAGACAATACATCAATTAGTTTCGTTTTAGTAAGAGTTCTACGGCACTTGCAACACAAAATAAATAGGTCATATATATGTGCCAAAGATTAGAAGAGTTACTAAAGACTGCAACACAGAGAAAAGGAGGGCAGACACGGATGATAGATGTTTGATTGGAAAGAAGGAGAAGATGAGCACCTACCAACCACCCATGACGTTACATCAAAAACCACGTGTACACAAGTCCTCTAAACCATCTACAGCGCCCGCAGCTTCTTCACTTTTTGCCTGGGATTACTTTTTAATACCACCTCGGCAGACTTGCTCTTCTTTGCCAGTCAACTGCAGGGGTGTTTCAAATGTGCAAAGTGAAACACAGGATCCAGTTCAGTTAATTTAGTTTGAGCAAGAGTTTTACGGCACTTGCAACGCAATAAGGTCATATAACTGCTGAAGATTAGAGGTGTTACAAGAGACTAACAAACACATAAATAAAAGAAGGTGGGTAAATAAGAACAATAGATGTTCGATAGGAAAGAAGGAGCAAACCACATCAGAGCACCCGCCAACAACCCATGGGCCCAGTTGAACCAGTAAAGAAGGGGCAAGGAAGGAAAGACGACCGACCGGGCGCTTGATCTCACCCGCCTGACCTAGAATGAGGGGGGGGGGGGGGGTGATAAAACCTCAGACCAACCAAAATCATGGCAACACTCACCATCCAGGCTCTGTAGTACATGGCGTTGAATGACGGAGGCAGATACTCGCCGGTGATCCCGTTGAAGGACATGGGGTCCTGAAGACTCTTGCTTGAGCCAAAGTCGATCAGCGTCGCCACAAACCGTCCCAGCTCCTCACACCATTTCAAGCACACATTTTCAGCTGGGTGCAAAAAATGGGAGAAAAAAGTTTAGAAGCCATTCTTGTTTTAGTAAGCGTTTTACTGCACTTGCAACACCATGAGGTCATATAAGAGCTGAAGATTTAGATGTTACAAAAGAGAAACAAACACCCCCCCCCCCCCCCCCCCCCAAAAAAAGGAAGAGAGATCAGAACAATAGATGTTTGATAGGGAAGAAGGAACAAACCACACCAGAGCACACGCCAACCACCCACGAAGCAAAAGTTTAGAAGCTAAGAAGTAGGAAACCAGTAGAATTAGCCACAAAACAACCCTCTCCAGGGTACCGTCTCAAGAACACACTTTCAGTTGCATAGACAAATTTGAAGCATGCTGACAAAATGAGTTACTTCTCGGATTTAAGCCCTATGGAAATCGGTACATCACGCTTATAGGTGAAGCTTTTTTAACAATTTATAACACGGCGCACCGGCAGTGGAATTTTAGTTGCTGCAGGGAGTTCCCCGCCAGGCGCCTTATCACGTCGGGGCCACGGGGGTCAGCTCCATGTCGCCGCTCTGTCTGGGCCGACTTGATTTTTGGTACTTTTCAACGTACAATTATAGGTTTATCGTTGTATTTATGGTAATTCTCATTTAGTGCACCCAAAGCATGCATTTATGCTCTTGAGACTCAAAAATGAACGGGTGTTGTAACTTGTCTGGTTATTTCGTTAGACACGCTGAAGTCGGCAATGCTAAATTGTAATTTTTTTTTGACAAGCGTGAATGAGAAAAAATCAATTTAAAAAAAAGGCCTTGTCAAAATCTGTCGAAATTTGGGAACATGAACGACATAGCATTGGTGCAGATACTCAGAAAAGATGGTAACTGCGCATATAATAGAAAGCTGTAATTTTGCAACTTTATCCATCGGGCACACAATTCGCTATGAAGTAATTCCTCCAAATTCAACTTTATGTGTCTAATATAATCGTGAATATTCGCACATTTTCTCGAAAAATGATTAAAGTTACCATGAAGTTTGTCTATGAAAAGTGCAAATCGATTTTAGTGCCAGAATATACATCTTCAATGTAATACACGAACATTATCTGTTACACTCCAGAAATTCCTTACTTTTCTTAAAACGCTACGTCTAGGTCTTATAAGTTGACTAATAGGGATGACTTCTCGTAATTGGGTTATAGGAATAATTTCTAGCTTTCCAGGGACACTGAATCAGCACCAGATTTTTCCAGCTTTATTTTTCCTTTCTATGACCATTTTCAATAAGTGACAATGTGACTGATTTCTTTACATTCATTATTGTGTCCGCGCATATTTCCGACACAAAAACTAAGAATGAATGTGTTAGCTGTCATTATTTTTATTCCACACAAGAAGTTTACCTCTACCCATGTATTTACACGGTTTTGTGGGTTTTTAAAAAATCGCTTATATCTTTTTAGTTGTATGCAGGCTGCCACAGACACAGCATGATTCATGAACAACCACAGGGTAACTTTCTCTTGTTTAATAGTAAAATAAGAGCTGACGCAGATTGTTTTTAGTTAAAAAATGCAGATGTGCATCTTTCTTCTCTTATAACTTGACTATTACTACTCGCGCAGATTTAAGATTTCTCATGGTAAAAGACATGATATTCGTAATCAGTTTAACACAGATTTTGGAGAGATCTGTCGTGCCTCTTTTAAATTAACAATCATTTATTCATAAGTTTGTCACTAAAATAGGACAAATTGGGTACTCTACAAACACTTGTCTAGAACAAAAACTAAGGCACAGAAATTAACCATTTTAATGCAGAATAAATCTCAAGACATTGAGCTTTTAGTACATCCGCGTAATGGTTTGCTGTGTGGGATGGGGATGAAGTCATATCGTTTTAAACATCGTCAAAAATGCGAACTTCCTAACCAACACCGGCAAAGTCGCTTCAGGGTTCATTAACCCCCTGACCCCGAGCCGGGGAGCTCCGGCAGGCTGCTGAGTCACGCTAACTAAAAGTAACAGAATCGGGCGAAAAGTGACGCCGTGATAAATATGAAATAATAAAAGGGATTACTTTAAGAATATTCAAACAATAGAAAATCTACAAATTTTACCCGTAAGTCGATTTTTGGCCAATGTCTCCATTTGTGGATCGTGAGAAGTAACTCATTTTGTCAGCACGCCTCACAAACGAAAGAGTCATGAGAGAATTTAATTCACAGCGTAGTATGCTTTCTAAGATCATCAGCAAAAGAAGACTCAAATACCTTCGTCATGCAAACAGAAATATAAAAGTAGATGAGATGACAACTGTAAAAACAGAAGCAAAACAGATGCAAAGAGAAGTACAGGTAAGACTTCTTTTAGTTTTAGTAGAGGTTTTACTGTGCTCGCAAATGCACAAGGTCATATGAGCGCCAGAAGATTTAGAGGTGTTACAAGAGAGTAACAAACATAAAAAAGAAGGAGAGACAAGGACAATAGATGTTTGATAGGAAAGAAGCAGCAAACCACACCAGAGCACCCACCAACCACTCACGGTAAGACTTCCTATACAATAATAAATGGCATTTATATAGCGCTCAACCCTGATTAAAGCACCAGCTCTGAGCACTTTACAATACAATACAACAGTAACATAAAACATTGTGATATGACCAAAAGAAAATAACTCCAAATATTCATCTTATTAATTTAAAAACAGAAATGACTTCAGCTGACATTTGAATGAATCGAAGGATTTTAACTCTTTTAAAGTACTAGGCAAAGCACTCCAGATCTTGGGCCTTGATATTCAAATGCCCTTTCACCCACTGTCTTAAGTTTCATAGATGGTAAAAGAAATTTCTTTTTGTCAGCTGTTAAACTGTGAGTTGAAATAGCAAAACTCCGACAGTAGTCTACAACTTTTAAGAAACAAAACATCAAATCAGAGACAGGAGAAAGTTTCAAGATAGGATGTGCACTACATTAATGCACTCTGCTATTATTTATCAAAGTACTCTTCAGTAACAAAAAAACCCAAACAAAACCTCTTTTAAAATCACCTTTTATGTCACAGTGCGTGATCCCAGAGCGAGCAAGAAGGCAAATGGCCTGCAGCAGATCCCGAGTAAGGGGACATAATTGCTCCGGGCGGGTCAAAATATCCCGCTGATGTGGATCCTCACACGAACGTTTCAGGTTGCGACCTGGAATGACCATCAAACAACAACTTTTACAACAGCAGAAGTGTGTGTGTGTGTGTTTGTCTGTGTGCCTGCGTGAGTGTGAGTGCATGTGATCATTGATGTCTGTGTTTGTGCGTTTGTGTGTGTGCATATGTGTGTGTGCATGTGTGTGTGTGGTGAAATCAGGCGCTCGTCAAAATACTGAATCAAAGAAACCGCCATTTTTCCTTTTTCATTTGTACCACTTTTGATGAAAAAAGAAAAATACCTTAATATCTTCAATAGAAGTCAAAGACTTTTGCAGTTGAAGAAAGTAGGGGCCATCTGGTGTCAGACGTTAAATTAGCAAGAAAATCTAACCGAATACAAATTGTCCAGATTTCATTATTTTGACGAGTACATGATTTTACCACGATGCCACAAACGTGAGGCATCGTGGTGAAATCAGGCGCTCGTCAAAATAATGAAACTGAAGAAACTTGCATTTTTCTGTTTCATATATGCAACAAAACAACTGCTGACATACTCTAAACAGCTAAAAACAACTTATAATGTACTGTCTTGGGGATATTTGACCTGTCAACTGAAAAAACTTCACCTGATAAAAACCTATTTGTCATGTAATTTTTTTTTCACGAAGACATACCTAATCTGTCTTACCAAGAACAAACAAACAAAAAAGCATGGGAGAATGTCTTTTCAAGAAAAAGTAAATATAATCGGACAAAAATCCTCATGCGACAAACTGTTCCGACCTTTTTTCAAAACCACTAGACCTGCACGTGAACCTCCACCAGATTGTATGAATATTTTGCGCACACCACACAACCCCAACCCCCCCCCCCCTCCATCCCTATAAGAGCTTTTGTGGGTATCCTAAATGGAAGGACTTCCATAACGAGCGACCACCCCAACAAACACAATAAAGAAGAGACCTCTAACCCTACCCATCTACCCCTACCCATCTTAAAAGTTAATAAAAGTAGCCCTTTATTCTACTTTGACTCATAGTGGTCGCTTGTTATGGAAGTCCTCCCTCTCAAAATAGCAGCACTTGTAGAGGTAGATGATGGGGGCATCAGCCCCCCAAACAGAACCTGCAACGGCCCTTCAGAAATGTTTTTAAAAAGCCAGCAAAGGGCAAAGGTCCAAAACGACACACTCCAGAACAAACAAGTATCATTTTATAAAGGCCTAGATCTAGACCTACATTGCTATAACAGGGTTCGATACAATAACACAATAGAAGTAGAATATGAATCCCCCCATATAAATGTTATATATTATTATATAGTAATCTAAATAGATCTAGATCTAAATCTAGATGAAGAACAAATGAATAAGAAAAGACCTTTGTGGCCTTTCTTTCACTAGAACGAAATCCGCGTCCGAACAAAGTACAAAGGGACTCAGCTGAGTCTGATCATTTACGCACCTGGTGAAATGCTCTTTTACCAACATTAACATTACAGCACCAACTATAAATGGGTTTGACACCATAGCATTGGAATATGAATCCTCCACGGAGGTAGGTCTATAATGATCTAAATCTATATAAATCTAGATCTAGTAGAACATGTGAGTAGCCTGGGCCTTGAATGAATCCACATCCGAACAATCGGTCAACAGACTAAATTCAAAATGGCCGCTCGAGCACAAAACTGAAAGTAGATCTAATTTAGCTCGTCGTCTTTTTTCGTATTCGTATTTCTACTCAGGTCTCGACAATTATGTCGGAAACGCCGACATCGGCACGAAAATGAAGGTACCGACTAGGTCGAGCGGAGAAAAAGGGGGCGCTAGCAATCGGCCAGGCCTCGCACTTTGCACATAGACTAATACAGGTGGGCCTAACGATAGCATCAGCCGCGTCGCGGGTCACGTCGCGATGGTCGGATTTCAGACGATTGTCGGCAAACATGCAAGTCTAAACCACATTTACCTTGCTAAAATGGAAAAATAAAATGTTTTACCTGCATTCTGAAACTAAAAAAATGTACTAAATTCCCCGAGTAGAAGAGAACAAGTCACGATCTTTCACCTGTGAACACAACACATCCCACTGAATTCCTGCGTAAATAGGATCCGCAAGGATACCCCATCCGACAGCCCGTTGTGTGACTGCCAGAATGAAACAGTATCACACAAACTCTTTACCTGCCCTGCACTTTGCAACCTGTGTAGCACCTACCTATCTGTCTCCCAAGACATCGGAAATACTCTATACAGCGGCAAAACACAGCTGATAAAAACCTGTAAATTCTTTGCCATATCGATAGGCCAAAGGGCTAGAACTCAAATGGCCGCTGGATTGGAAAAGTAAAGTAAGTAAGTACCTGCATTCTGCAGCACCAAATAAGCATTCACGTCATCGTACCCCAGCGCTACTACTTTTTGGATATTTGGTGACTGGAAGTTCAGTGGCACTTCTAGTTCGTTGATGGCGACTGTTCCCTTGATCTAAAAAAAAAAAGAAAAAAAAGAAAAAGGAGGGAAACACATGAGATTGAAAAAGTTTGGATTTTATTAGTTTTGGTAAAGAGTTTAACGGCAACTGTAACACAAATATGTCATATAAGTGACGAAGATTAGAGGTGTTACTAGAGTGTAAAATACAAAGAAAAGAGGGAGGAGAGATAAAGGCGACAGCTACCATTTTGGCACAATTCAACCAAATTTTCAACTAAATTTGACAGTGACCTTCAAAATCTAACGCATTTGTTTTTCAATGTTTTTCAACGCCATAAGCCGAATAAGTCGTAAATGCCAGAAGGGTAGCTTTTGACTCCCGCCTCCACAGAGCAATATCTGGCTGTCTCCGACTCAGTTTGATTGAATCCAATAGGCAGTATGCACTGCTCGGTATAAAATATCAAGCGTTCATATAAGATTCGTTCATTATAAGATTTGTTCAGTCTATCTGGACAGGGGTCAACCAACACCCACTCTTGGTTACCAAGAGAAACTTTAAGCTCTTGGGTAACGAACATAAATGTCCCACTTGTACCCAGCCAGGGACAGCAAAAGATCTTGTCAGGTCTGCCGGGGTAATAATATCATAGACTGTAAAGCACACAGAGCTTGCTATAGAATGGGAATTTGCGCTATGCAATTGCTATCTATTACTACTACTGTAGACCATGGATTGCACTGCTAAGTAAAAAAGAAGAAGGGGGGAAAAAACTTCAACACAATAAGAGACAAAACAAAGAAATAAACACTTGTCTCTTACCTTCTTCACCATTAACTTCTCTTTGGTTTCTTTGTCCTGGAAAGGAACAACCTGGCCGAAGGAACCTTTGTCGCTGTTCTCAAACATATTCTCCAAATTACATTCGGGCCCAAATCCTGAAAACATCTGTACCAGACCAAAACAAAATTTTTAAAAAAATAAATAAATCATTGCAAGCAAGGACTTCAACACATGATAACACTGCCAAATTTTTAAAAACCAAAATGTTTAACTTCTTTTAAAACAACAGGGAGATGCATGCTTTCACACCCCCACCCCCCTCCCCACTATAATCATTCATTATACTATCATCTATTCTAAAAATAAAGTGCCATTCAACACAAAGCCTTATTTTTTCTCTTCAAGTAATACTTCCCCAACTGTATGTATTTGTATAGTCTTCATAGTAAAAGTTCGATAAAAACAATTATTGTTCTGTAATAAGTAACCCAAATGATGATAATGTCTGACATGTCATTATTTTTCCAAAAGGAATTTTAATTTACTTGGCCTACTGTGTGACGACAGGTAAAAAAAAAAGAAAAAAAAAAAAGAAGCAAAACGGAAGTACCATAAATGTGAAAATGAATAAAGATTCAAATATGAATCTGAAGTTTGGAACATGATATAAGATAAAACATGAATCTTCACTGCATTGGGGCGCCATTTTATTTCTTCATTGAGAAAAGTGTCTAAAAAGTGATTCCACGAGAGCCTGGATCAAGCTCAAGATTGACACTGTCAGTTATTTCGTTTGGTTCAGTTTTAGTAAGAATTTGCAACACAAATAGGTCATATAAGTGTCTAAGATTGGAGGAGTCACAAGAAAGTAACACACAATGAAAAGAAGGATGAGAGGTAAAGACAATACATGTTTGATAGGAAATAAAGAGGCAAACCGCACCAGAGCACCCGACAATCACCCACTGCTCAAGATTGACCATCATCATTTATTTTTTGTTCTACACAAATAGACAGGATTTGCAACACGTTAGACATGTAAGTACAAGTCTCATTTACTTTTTTAAAACCCACTCTAAGTTCACAATCAAATGACAATAACTGACGAGGAAAATATAGTTATTTGCAGCATGATCATCGTCACAATTCCTCAGAACAGGACACCAGCAAATACAGATAAGTAACAGACAAAGTGCCGCCCCCCCCCCCCCCCCCCCCCCCCCCCGCAGAATGCCCACCAACCACTTGAGCGAGAAAAATCAAATACACATGTTTCATGCCCCCATCTACACGATTTAGATCATTTAGGAGGCAGGCTTCCACTACGGCTGTCTAAGCCCATCCGGGATGAGGGGATACAAGGTCCCAGCAAAAACACCCGAGATACTCAATAAAATCCCTCCCTCCTTCCCCCCGGAATCGAACTCATGTCTTCTGCAAGTTAAAGCAGAGTGCCTGACCATTACGACAAAGAGAGTACACCATCCAGGTCTTAGTTTTGGTGAGAGTTTAACCGCATTTGTAACACAATAAGGTCATATAAGTGCCGAAGATACGAAGTGTTATAGGAGAATAACAAACACAAAAAAGGAGGAGAGATATGGACAGCAGATGTTTCATAGGAAAGATGGAGCAAACCATACCAGAGCACCCACCAACCACCCACTAGTAAGTTTGTTTTTTTGTATAGTAGAGGGTTTTACGGCGCTCGCAACTGCATAAGGTCATATGAACGCCAAGAGGTGGGTGTCAACAGGGAAGTCTTTACAGGGAATCAGACTTATTCTGCTCACGTCTCTAGCTTCAACAGCACAAGGTCTGCTTCAACTATCAAGGCACCCCGGAAATAGCAGATCACAAGAGAGTGACAAACATACAAAAAAATAGAGGGAAAATGACAATAGTAAGGATTTGGAAAGAAAAGGCAGCAGTTCCCTGTTGTAGATCAGGCACAGTTATGAGCATGACATGAATCAGCCCATTTACAATTCTACTGTGCTTGAACAAGAAATGTCCCCCCTTTGGGGATGGCCAAGAGACACTACAGTAAGTGGCACTGTCCCGGGGGGTACTAGTAAGTGTCACAACACTTGCAACACAATTAGGTCATATAAGTACCTGAGATTACAGGTGTTACTTACGAGTTAACACAAGATAAACAAAAAACAAAAAAAGCAACAAAGGACTCGAGAGATGAGGACCATAGATGATTGATAAGAAAGAAGGATCAAAACACACCAAAGTGCTCGCCAACCACCCATACAAAACTGTCAAATATAATTATAGAAATTATTACCGTATCGTCATATATGATGCATTTAGGACTGGCCAGCGGCCGCAGGCTGAAGTTGTCTCCCAAAGCATCCAAGGTGATTTGTTGTTTTTTCATGGCCTGTTCTTTCCTTTCAACATTGGTGTTGATCTCTTCCACCAACTTGCGAGTCTGCTTTGCCTGCTCCGATTTTCTGTTTAAAAAAAAAACCCAGTAGGTTGTAGCGACTGCATACATGCCTGGCTTACACATACACAAACACACAATGACATTGTGCCAACGCCGGGGAGTGAGTCATCGCTCACTGTTGTAATTTAAGTGTGTTGTCTTTTTCATTCTACGCCTTCATTACAATTTTGTCCTACGTTGAAGAAGGTTGTGTTAGTGTCATTTCCTTCACTCTACAAGAGCTCATTATATAAACACCATCACATTCAGCATATCATCACAATCAAACGCAATACACTTAAGTCCAAATTTTGAGAACTTTTGATTTTTACACCTACCCAAAGATTTATCAAAGAAGCTCCTTTCAACATTACCAAAATGCAGTTTGATGCTTTGGTCAAGGCTTACAATTTTCTGGCTTTTCATGATTCCTGAACAAAACACAAGAACTAGTTTTTGCCTCTTGTGTAAAAAGTACTGAACAGATTGCTTGCAATACCGATGATATATTGGTGGGGTGCTAATTTCCAGATGGGTCTGATGTTCTACACAATGAAATAGTGAGAAGGAAGTTACTTCAAAATTCACTACTCCACTCACGATATAAACATTTTCAAATTGTCCTTCCCACATCATTATAATTTGTCACTGTTCTGTGCCATTTTCAACTATCTTACTTAATGTTGGATGAAGCAAAAGCAGAGGGGAAAGACCGGCTGATCAAGTCAGCAGATCTGTCAGAAATGTGAAAATGAACAAAGTTTCCAATCTGAGTCAAAGTTAGGAAAATGCTCCAAAAGTATACACTAATATCTTTAAAAAACAGGATGTAAAAAAAACAAATTTCCTAATGAATTTGTAAATAGAATGAAAAAGCCCCCCCCCCCCCCCCCCCATGAAAAATTCTACTACCCGGACACAGAGAGTGCAGTTGATCAGCTTAACGAAGATTTGGGCAATACAGCGTTTTGTATTAGTAAGGTATTATGGCGCTCGCAACTGCATAAGGTCATTTGAGCACAAAAGGGTGGATGTCATCAGAAAGGTCCAAAAGGGGAATCAGCAGGGCTTCCTAAATCAAAGTTCCCATTTCAGGTAGATTCAGAGTCATTTTCAGATAGTTTGGCCCAAAATCAGGTAGTACAAAGATAAAGAAGAAAAGAAAAAGATGATCGTTGCCAAATCGAACGCGCTTGCTTTCTGTGATATTGGGTAATTATATTTTGAAAACTTGTTTGTGCATGCACATGTGTGTTTTGTACGTGTGTGTGTGTTCACGTGTGCATGCTCTCGCGCGTGTTCATATATATGAGGAGAGGGGAAGGGAGTGTTTGGGTGTGCACCATACAATTTATTCCCGAGAGTTGCCATAAATATCTGACAAGTTACGGAGGCAAGTGCTGATCTCTCTCTCTCTCTCTCTCTCTCTCTCAATGCATGGAGGTGATATAATGAGAACAGCAAGTACGGAACTTTCGGAGTGTACGGAGTTCCGTTTAAACAAAGAAGAATGGAAGCACTGCACAATGGGTTTTTTTTCTTTTTATTCTTTCGGAACCCATCGCAAATCAGGTAGTTTTGACACCTTATCGGTGTGGCGGTAGAACAGGCCCAAAATCGGTATATACCGGAAAAATCTGTAGATTTAGGCAGCCCTGAATCAGGCTTACTCTGCTCACCTCTCTAGTCTCAACAGCACAAAGTCTGCTTCGACCTTCAACTATCAAGGCACCCCGAAAATAGCAGTTCATGAGAGTGACAAATACACAAAAGAAGTATAGGTAAATGACGATAGAAAGGATGAGGAAAGAAAAGGCAGCAGTTCCCCCTATGATGTTCCTGCACAGTACGAGCATGATATTGATAAATCAGCCCATTTACAATTCTACTGTGCATAAGAACATGTTTATATCCCCCCTTAACATGTTCGATATGGGCAATACACCAACAGCAAACATGTAATGGAACTCACGAGTAGTCTGTGCGGCCACTGGTCTTCTCTTCCTCCGCCTTCCTCTTGACAAGGTTCACTCTGTACGGCTCAGGCTCAGGCTCTGGATCAGGACTTTCGGGAGCCACAACTTTGAGCCGACTCTTCGCACAAAACACACCATCCACTGTTTTAGATTTAGAAGAAAGAAAACCTCTGTGAGAGACTACTACATAAAAAAGATACACCTCTTCGAAAATCCTGAACACTGTTCATTGCTCCAACCTGCATGAAACTTGAAACGATTTCTTCCTCCTACTCCCAATAATCACAGTTTCTTATGGCCCCAACTCAAAAATCTTTTTTTTAAATTTCAAACAAACACAGTAGGCATTGGTTCAAAGGTCAGGAGCCCAGCAGCTGCTGGATTTCAAACCAATACTAAAACACTGCGACACATGGTACATAAAATGTAAGCCAGCCATTACAGTACAAATGTATAGTGGAAGAACAGAGCTTACTTTTGTTACCAGTACTAATCATCTAAACTGTCTATCAAAACTGAAATGCGAGTTACACGGAAATCCTGCTGCAACCACTAATCTCTATCCATTTTTAAACATTGAAATGTCAAATCACATGGGTATATACATATATCTCACCTGCTTCAGGTCGCGGAGCCATGTTCCTCCGCAAAAACAGTCCTTGAGATTTAGGGGGACTGAGGATATTGACTCCCAGCTGCTGGAGGGGACCAGTGACTTGAGGTTGCAGGCCATCATTATGGTCATCATTGTGCAGGGAAATTTCTCCAGCATTTGCCTCTGTCTCTACAACATCAACACAACAAAAGACACCCTAAGTTATTTATATTATAACAACAATCAAAATAACTGAATGAAATTCAAAGTCACTCTCTCTCTTGAAAAACAAGATAGCTGCATTTCACAGTCTTGACACTTTTATTGAAAAACAACGTGAATAACATCATTCTTCATTGACTGAACACAATGCAGGTTCATTTAAGCTCATCAAGTAACAAATTTTCATTCATCGACAAAAAAACTTTCAAAAGCAGATTATTACACACTGCAATTTTTCATCTTCAAAGTAGCACATCATAGAAGGCTTCACATGTAACTTCTTCCATACTCTCCAATTCTTAGCTACTCCCTATCTTTAGCACCCAGCTGCATAGGGTATTTGGCAATCAGTAGATGGAATAAGTATGAGAATGATAGGAGAGTGGCATGCACCCAACAAGCTGCAATGTTCAATGTTCTCCTTGGGTGGTGGTGGGAGGGGGGGAGAGATACAAGACTGAAAGGATGAATAAATGAACGGGCCATTCAACACAGATATTGTAAAGTTATATGTGAGCTTTTGTGGAATACATATCATTCTAACTAAAATGTAGATCTCCTGTGTGCACAAATTTTTTAGACATTTTACCATAAATCCAAGAACAAAATTCACCTTACACACTGCGACAAATTAATCTTTCCTCCTGCAAAAACACACCAAATGACATGCACGCATTCACTCTTATTCCTTCTACACTAACTTTAAAAACTCCAACATCTCCAAAATTGGACACCACACTTACTTACCTATTTGGCAATTTACTAGACTCTGTCTCAGCAAAATATCATTATGATCTGGCATCCGCAGGTATCTTTTGCCACCAACGGCCAAAACTGGCTGCTCATCATGCATGTCTGAAGCCATGACGACGCGTTGTGTTGCCCCACCCTCCCTCCCATTGTACTGGAATTGACGTTCAGCCATAGGGAGGCTGAGTAGAGAAAAATATGAAGAAATAACGAACCATGATTTGTAACATAGCACACAGTTGCATGTACATTGATAAAAAAAATATAGGGTTGGGGTGCAACATTATAAAATGTAAAAAGCATCACAAATATCAGGAGCAGAGCCATTCCTGGTTCAACTAAAGTAGTACTCAAAGCAAAACAATGCTTACTATCCGAACTGGTTAGTATGACATCTTTGCACAATTTATCTTTGTTCTTAGGTTCTTTATAAGATGGAAACTCAAAATCCTCTCTGACTGATTCCATTAAAAACTGATATTGTGTGTGCACTGAAAAGCAGACATTTGCAAGTTTGTAACAAATATGATCTTCCCATGATTGCGACACCGAAACTTGCTCTCATCCCACTAAAGTTATATAATGATGAATTACATCTGACGCTGTGAACTTATGAAATTTCCCAAAATAGGACTCCCTATATGACCTTAGATGGGGACTTTATAGATTTCCTGGAACTCTTCCACTTCCATTGCTCCAACCTGCATGGAACTTGAAACGACTTCTTCCTCCTATTCCCAATAATCAGTTTCGTATGGCACCAACACAAAAAAAAACTTTAAAAAATTTCCTAAACAGTAGGCATAGGTTCAAAGGTCAGGAGCCCAGCAGCTGTTGGATTTCAAACAGAAACTAAAAAACTATACAGCAAAGCATCATTGGGTCTGTAAGGCATGCCAGAAAAAAGTGCAGTCTCCACATTGAAGTATGAAATGGTTAAGTGTTGACACCTTTTTCTGAAAGGCCCTCAAGTAAATGAATCAAATCTCCATCACGGACATGACAGAACCAAATTCTACAAGAACTAGCAAAACTTTTCAAACAATCAAATTTCAAGAAGAATACAAGAGAAAATCGAACTAGGATAGTTTGATATAATCTAAAACTACCCAACATAAGTGATTCCCAGATACTCTCTTTCATGAACAAATTTTTTAAAAGTATTAGAAGCTTCATGACAGTTATGAAACCACTTTATACATATATTATCTTTTTCAAAACTGACAATTTCACAAGCAGTCATTGCTCTTTAAAAAAAAATATATAGTAAAGGGTTTTACGGCGCTCACAACTGCATAAGGTCATATGAGCGCCAAGGGGTGGGTGTCAACAGTCATTGCTCTGTCCAGAAAAAAAAGAGAGGAGAGGAGAGGAGAAGTGCCAGCAGGGTGAAGTGCTGAGTTTCATATGATATAAGTTGTATCTCTCCGACATAGGACACGCTTTAAAATAAACTCACATAGAAAGTGGGCTGTTCTTTTTTTTGTTTGTTTGAGGGCGGGGGGTGGGGCTTAAAAAAAAAGACTCAGTCAAGTGGGAGCCAGTTGGCTTCAAGCAATGTCCCCTACCAAAAATTAATTTCTTTCCATCTCTAACAGAGTTCCCCACTCATGTCATGACGCATCATAAATCGTTGTGTTTTGACCACACCGACCAAATTTTAAAAAATGAAAAGCAGGTTCACTGCCAACAGAAGAACCGATCCCACAGTCCACGAGTATGGGCGCCAGTCTGTCTAGGAAGTTAGAGCGCAAAACTGAAAGACGAGAGCAATGCTCGGGAAAACGTAAGCGTCCAGAGTTCATATTTTGGTAGAATGCAGTCTGACTCTTGCTTGTAGGTCCTCCCCACCAAGCGTGATGTAAGATCAGGCGGACAGCTCAGGTGATCGAGGACACGACAGAGCTCAGACCGCCGGTACTCACACTGTGCAGGTTCAATGACCGGTCATGATGGCGAGCCTGACAGGACGCTAACAGCTTTCTTTTCTTTTTTTTTCTCAAGCGACAGCACAGCACAAATATTGATTTATTTTCATGGTGACGACACAGCGTTTGTAAATAAAAATATTGTACAGCACAACCTGCATGTTACAAATGTTGCGTGATCTATCAGACTAGGCCTATTACCATAAAATTGGTACAATGTCTCAGGAAATACTGCTTATAACGAGTTGCACCGGCTTAATTATCGCTATCCAAGCGTCTCTCTACTTTTACTTGCTCAAACTCAATTGATTATGATTATGAGAGATGAACGAGACAACGTTTAGTCTACGTTTGTGCAAACAATGTCAGAAACAATTGTTAGATTCTAGATGTACCCAATATTGATCGGAATAAGACAACGTCATAAAAAAAGGAGTCAGATCCTAGGAGGTTTATTAAGAAACTGAGAAAGCTTCCACAATTCAGGCAGAACTACAATATTATTAGGATAGCACTATTCCCAGTGACACTGAGAACAGACAGGCCCATTAGATCTATTGTTCCCACACTGATCTAAAATGCCGATGGGTTACAAAATACTAGACTATGTGTAATGCAGATCTAGATCTAGATTGTAGATCTAACTAAACTAAAGTAGATTCTGGTGTGAGTGGAAGAATTTTTTTTTTTTGGCAGAGGAATGATCATTCTATGCTTGCTTGATATGCGATTAAACGTAGAAGGAAGCAAACTATTTTTAGGTAAGGCAACCATTTTGTTTGACATCAGACCGAACCACCCCTCCGATCATGTGGCTATATGTATACAGCCAACGGGATGGCACGGCGCTTTGATGCGACGTTTTTCCAGGAATACCGATAATGTGATACGATGCGGTGCAGCGATGATAAATAGTCTCTTTTATACAGTAGATCTAGAGGAAACGTTCAAATGAATTCAATAGATGCAGTGAACTGGAAAATTAGGAAGCTCAAACCCGTCAATGTCTCAATGAAGGAAATTGTTGACATTCGTACGGTGTCAATACTGGAATTCCGAAATGATATCAGAGAGTATTTAATTATATTTTAGTGTCTCTGATGTTATTGTAATTAGTAATATACCAGAAACACGTCATTCTATACGGTACCTCCACTGCCTTTTTAAAATAGTCTGTGGGTATCCCAGATGACATCACACTATTAAAATTAGCAGCCAATCAGAAAAATGCCTACAAATTATAAAATTGCCGTGGTTTACATATTTGGAGTGATTATTCTCACCCAGAGTGATGATAAAATTGATACTTTTCTCACCCTGGGTGAGAATAACGACCGCCTACTATTCTCACCCGGTATTTTCGTTTCCGCCCTTTTTATTTCATTTCGGGCATCATAGCAAAGATAGCATAATAGTATCTTTGATCATAGGACCCCTGTCATCGAGTGCTCAAGGCGACAAAACTCGCCTCCCTCTCTCTGAGTGTGCGAGGCGACTAAAATCGCCAACGGGCGGGCCAGCTCTCGAGCGCGGGAGGAGACTATTGTCGATTTAGGGGAAAACCTTATCTTTCGAGCAAATAGCGTCACCTTTTGTTGCTATTTATTGGTCCTGTAATGGAAAATTTTATTCTTGAATGGTTTAGCCAATCAAAATTAAGAAAAAAATAAGCCTAGGGTCAAGGCACTGCGTGCCTTAAGAATAATCGAAGGTTCTGTTAGGGATAACAAGTTTTTTGTGTTGTAAACAAACTATTACAAAACATAGTACAGTCTACGGTAAGATGCAGAGTGGCCCAATTTTGTGAGGCACATTGACTCCCAGCGCCACTAGCGGCGAGCATGCGACAGTTTGTAAACAAACACGGCAAGTGATACTCAATGCTCATGCTGTCGTTCGGCGATCGGCCGTTTTAATTCTAGAGGGAAAACCAAATAATTGTCTTTCTTCAGATTCCCAAAGGACAAAAAAAGGAAAGACAATGAGAAATTTATTTTTTAATCTAGAGTCCAGAACTAGATTAGAGCTAAACTAGAGAGATCAGAGTCCTGCCTGTAAGAGTTGTTTACTCTCAGCATCATGCAACCTTGACTATGACCAATGCTTTGTACTCTGTACTTTGTTGTGTGTGGGCCCATTCCATTAGGTGTAGAACTAGATTCTAGATGTAAATATATATATATAGATCTATATGTTTTCTGTGTTGTAGGTTATTATGTAATTTGTTCTTTAACTATCTAGATCTGTAGCCATCGTGGCAATTGTTTACTTTCTCGCGTTTAATTCCTGCCGCGCCTAAACCTAGATCTGGTAGACGAAACCCTATGCATCTCCGACTGGATATTCAAAACTTTGCGCTGGAGTTAAGAGTACGTAAGGCTGTCGTTATTCTCACCTGTGGTGAAAATAAAAATGTAATATTATTCTCACTCGGGTGAGAAAAATATTATATTGTTCTTCTCACCCCGGGTGAGAATAAAATGAATAAGAAGTGCCTATTTGCAAAGCTGCGTTGCGATTAGCGCCAGTGCTAAATAAAACGTCGTGTTGCCGTGTACAATTATAAAGCTTAATCTACACTTCCTTGTTGGAAGTTCTGACAGCCGTCTGCGCTTGAAGCCAAATCATTATTTTATGAGTGTGGGTTCAAATTCCGGTCCTGGAAGTTGGTTTTTTTCCTTTCTCTTTTTTTGTCCTCTTCTCGACGGATCAACAATTTTCCCCATAATCATAACCTGTTGCTTTGTAGTTCTTTAAAGCAGTGATGAAGCATGCGCTTTCTGGTTTTGTTCCCAAGAGGACCTCTGTACGAAGTAGATCTAACCTTAGTACTTTTCCTTTTACCAATTTAGGGATTTTAGGCCTGGTTAAAGTTCAATAGTGGCTTTGAGTCTAATTTTTTCTTTAAAAAAAAAATTTAAAAATTCCGGGACCGGGATTCGATGCCACGCTTGGAAGAACTGAACATTAGACTTACAGAACGTAGACAGCTTGTAACGTTCTCGAGGGCTAACTTAAAGATAATAGTTTTAGGGAGATCTAGATCTAGATTCAAGATCTAGATCTATTGTATGACGACACTGCAGACAGAAAATACTGCTTATACTTACACAAGTTGCACCATCTTGTTATTGTTATCCAAGCGTCTTTCGACTTACTTGCTCAAACTCAAATAATTATGATTATGAGAGATGAACAAGACTAGATCTACTCTACTTTTGTGCAAACAATGTCAGAAACAATTGTTAGATCTA